CTCTCAAGTCCAGCAGATAGGCAAAAGCAGCAGTACACAGCAGTGAGTCCATTTGGGCCCATGAGTTGGTTTCCAGCTTGTCAGAAAAACAGATTAAGCATCTAAATGTTCATCCTGATAGAAGCATGGTTAACACTATGAGCAAAGCACTAAGCATGACCCCTGTGGTATCATGGAAGTCTGTAAAATCTCCTCACTGTAAGGCAAGAGGCTCATCACAGGACTGGCTGACAATAACAGGAGAAGGTTTTCCTCTATTTGAAAGTGTAGCATGGTTTCTCCTTTTTTTTGCCGTGAAAGGATTTAGCTTAATTTAGTGTCACAAAGCTATGGTTTAGCTGGATACTACTGATTAATGTTTAGTAGCTGAGAGAAATAACGAGCTTGGGAATGACTGGGAACTGCTGCTGCCACATTCACAGGAGAGGGGGAGGATGCAAGTGGAGCACTGTTGCATCTCGCTCATCCATGTGATCTGGGCGTAGGTTGTTAATCACCACCACACCATCAACACAGCTCACTAGGAAGAGCCCTGTAGTTGCTGCTTCCAAGACATCACTCAGTACTCTGGAAGCATATGTATGATGTACAGAAAGTTGCCCATATAGAAGCTCATATAGAATAGCAGACAAACACACAAACACATGTATCTGCATGCACACATCCATTAGCAGATATTACAGTTCGACTGAACTACTCCAGTTCCCACCTATTTCTAGGTCTGCTCTGTGTGCATGTTAAAGGACAGTTTCTATAAAACAGTTAAGAAATTTCAAAATATATGAATATGCAAACAGCTTTCTCATTCTAGAAATTATTCTTAACTCTTAAAATTATTTAAGGTTGAAAACAGCAAGAGAATGGAATTGAAGCCAGTGGTACTGACTGTAGGTAATCTGTGTGCCCTCCTGAAAACTGCACAAAATTCTTTGTGTTTATTTTTATTAGCCATAGTACTAAGCCTAATACTTTGAATACAAGGCAAAGGACACACAATCTGTTCCTAAATTGCTACTACAGCTAGATATACAATTTTTCTAAAGCACTGCATAATGTACTTTTTCTAGAAGCCCCACAATATTAGTCAGAAAATTTAAAAGTGCTTATCAAGATACACTACATAATAAATAAGACGAAGTTCAGCAGAGACACTGACATCAACTGTTATCCACCTTGCAGTTGATTCTGCAACCTTATTTATGCACATTGATGTTTCCTCATGACAGATATAGGATATTGGACTCTCTAATCTAAAGTCTGCCATATTAGTTATCTTGCAAGACATTCATTGAATAAAAAAGGTGGGAGAAAATTAGAACATATATTTGTACCTAACCCTGAGATAAAACTTAATTATCTGTCTCCTTAGCACCTGGCCCAGCTGGCAGCTTATTTCTTTTTTTTAATTTTAAATGTTTTATACTGCAATTGTGCTCCGCAGTTATCTTATTAAAAATGAAAGCAATCTGATTTTTCTCTTTCTAGAAAGGAACAATTTTAACAGAATATCTTTCAGAAATATTTTCTGCTTGGTCTGTTCTTCTGTCTAATCTGTATGTGCACAGTGCATCCCATGAAAAATGCATGCACATACCAGATTTAAAAAATAATACTACCTGTGCCTCAGCTTGGGCTGATGAGGTTTTACACATTGCAAGTAATAGTGAATTTTGCATGCCCCTTTGCCTTTGCTGGCAAAGTCTGACTCCAGATGAGTCAGAAGCTAAACTCTGCCAGGTTTAACAAATGCCCACAGAGGATGAACAGATAGAATTATTTATTTCTATTAAGAATACCAGAGAGTATATTTTACAGGAAGTAATTTCATTATCTGTTGAAGTGCTAAAATTCAATGGTGCATTAATTTGATCCACCTCATTAGCATCCAGGCACATTTAGAGAAACTCGTCAAAATTGTTACAGTTGGTTCCAGTCATCAAAGTGATAGACCTGCGAAGTTTAACTCTATAATTATTACCTCATATATATTAAATGAATAATTTCTATAATAAAATATATATCATATATAATGTATCATATAATTCATGATTAATGTATAAAAAGAGGCAATATTTAAAATAATATTGCCAAGCATTTCAGCAAAATTACACTGTGAAAATGTTTCTAATTTGATCACATATCTAGAACAGAGAAAAGTAATAGAGAACAACAATTTTACATCATAGGATACTTCTTGCTGCAGCTCAAGGAAAACTAGGAGAAAAAGATCAAGGGCACCTCATTTGTGTTGCTTCTGCAAATGAATATGCCAATAGCAGGCAGGGAAGCAACTGCTACAACCACACATCCCTTTCTACTAACAGAAGATAGATTTAGAGATTTTGATTCTTTTAGATATTTTGGTATTTATTTTCACTATTTCAGCTCCTTTTTAGAGTGGATCAAGCTCCTTGAAAAAATGTGGTGAGACAATTTTTATAATTTCTTGGTAAATTCCATGTCATAGATTTATGTATTGATTTTTGGCAGCAGACTCCACTTACTGCTCACAAAAGATATCCTTATGTCTCATATAGCAAGTGCATATATAAGGAATACAAAAACACTCATATGTGAACTGGAAATATAGTTTATCACGTCCAACCACCACCAGAAAAGACTCGAGGACAAAAGTGTACAGTTCTTATGAAACACATTCATCTATTTCTACTCAACAAAACCTGAACACAAGGCAAAGTGGGTCTACAGACAGGGATTACTGACAAACTACCTCTTGTTTAAAAGTGTCTTGTAGACTGTATTATATGCTTCCTATCAGTGGTGGTCCTGACATATAAAAATGCTTAAGTCAATCTCCATTTGAATAAACTATACCATTTAGCTATCTACTGGTGTCAACAGAGATAAATTAACACTCCCTCACCCAAACCCAGACTCAGACAAACTGCAATGTTATCTCTTATGCATCTGAGGAACAATATGTATAAAAGCTGCTGTTGGCTTACAACACAAGAATACTGACAACACTGACTAGTTAAAACATTTCTTATAAATGACTGTACTGAAATATGGATTGTATGGAAGTATTATGATACAGAATAATTCTGATTTTAATTTTAATAAAACCAGGAAACTTAAAATGCCCAGAAAAATTATCATTCTAAAAGAACAACAATTACTAAGTTTTTCTGCAATTATGAGGAATTTGCTTGCTTAGAGTGGTTTTTAATCCTACATATACTATGCCTGTTTTCTACATGAAGCAAAATTGATCCTTACTGTTTTGAATCTAGTGTTAACCGTTATGGAATCATTTGACACAGTGTGTGTCTCTAGAATATGTGGTGCCCTGCATGAGAAAAATAACTTAGAATAATTTTACTTAGCTATTAAACAATTATGCTCATGTTCTACTACAGCTAAAAGGAGGTTTATCATTTCTACTGCTAAACTTAAAATAGCCACTATTTATTTTCACTGTCTGAGAACCTCAACATGACTGGTACAACAAAGATTCTAATTAGAGTAATATTTTCTGAATCCTAATTGTCATTTGTTTTCTAACTCAGGATTTGAATTTGAAGAACATAGACTGTGCTGGGTCTGTGTAACCTGCAACAATTTTTTACCTTAATAGTCACACTGCAGCATTTGAAAATTGGCAATTATTCATTTTGCCATGAGCTGGTAAATGAAGGAGTGAAATTCTCATCTGTGAAGAATATTATAGCAAATCATGGATTAGCAAAGTCAGGCCCTCTCAGGGAAAGTAGATCCTCTTGCTTACACCTAGCAAAACTAAGGATCAATATGGCACTTATCTTCACAATATAAACCTTATGTTAACTTGAATCAATTTCATCTCTAGAAATAAAATGTTTTACAAAGAGAAAAACTAAACAAGTTAATGAAAATTTCAGTCAGCAGAATCAGACAGAAGAATGCAATTCATTTTCCTACAGACTTTTAACAAGTTGTGACATCACAATCATCTATAAATGCTCCCTATTAAAAATTTTGTATTTAAAATAAAATAGATAAGTCTGTTTAAAAGAATACACTAACATGGATTTTTCACAGCAAAGTCATAAATAGTAGAATTCATATTTCCTGTTCTTCACTATAAAACTGAGGTCTTTATGCTACATTGACCATTCAGGTTTTTCCATGATCTGTGGGGAAAGAGAGGCACCTCCGTAAGACAATACATCCTGTCCTCACACAAACATCCAAGACAGATGGGAGAAATTGTGCTCTGGAGGTTCTGCTCTGTCTTAGTCTCCCCCCAGATTCTATACAGGGATAATACAAAACTTTGGGTAATACCTATTTTTTTGATTCCTAGGCACAAAATAGATGAATGAATCTTCAAATGCCTTTGGATGGAAATCCTAGGTTGTGGCAAAGTTTTGTTGTGGGATTTTTTTCTGTCTAAACTGACTATTTTGGATTGGAGTTTCAGCATCTCATAGGCATCTGGTAAAAATGTTTACTGTATTACACCTGCAATGCTGTCAGAGACATGTTTGTTAGTCTGCTCCATCCAGAAAGCTGATAGGGAGTGCAGACTTCTAGTCGCTCCTGTAATAGCATTAGAACTCTGATGTGGAATGAGGAAGGTTGCTATCAGGTTATTAGGTTATCAATACAAGTGCGGGCAAAAATGACAGCAGGAGAGATAAGAGTAAAGGAAGAGTCATTATAGCTTAGTTTCTGATGCTTAAATAATGCTTAGAAGCAAGCCAGTTTTTGGTTTGTTTGTTGTTTTTTTTCCCCTTCCATAAGAAACCAACAAAACCATTTCAGTTCTTCCTGTTCAGATGAAGGTATCTGTACCCAGACAATACCAGTTCTGCATATTTCCATCTCCTATGTAGAGTTAACTATTAGCACATATATATGCCTAAGAGGCTCAACTATTTATGGATCCTATTAGCAATCTATAAAAAGAGAAGAATACAGACCTAAAAGTGAGAGTTTGCTTAAAATGGGTATGCTTTAGGAAGACATTAAAAAAAACTATAACTCATATTCCATACCTGAGTAGTTGTTGCTTTGGATAAGAAGATTGGTCACTGTTTTGGCATGGCTGAGGTTTTTTTGTGACTTGCTTATAAATGTTTCTGGCAGTTACTCCAATCCATAGCATAGTAGAGAGTGTAGAATAATGCAGTACTATGCCAACCTAAAAAACCAAGAGTGCAAAGTTAAACAACTCAGTAACAGGATCAGTAAAATGAGTTTTAGAAGAATCTTACTGCATAAGTGTATGAGCAAACAGCTTTTTTTTACTGAATTTGTAAGGGCATCTAACCAGGGAAAACAGTTTTGAAAAATAGACAGAATCTGTTATTTAATCTATCATAGGCAATATCTGTAATACCGGATGGAATATTATGAAACCAAGACTGTAAAGACATTTGTTTTCTAAGAACCTGATTAATAACAAATTTTTACACCTGGATTTAAAGTGATGTGAAGCTTAGTTGGTGCTGCAAGCTTTGTTAGCTTGTCATGACAATGCAATTAAAAATTACTGAGTGGCCATCATTTTTGCCTGCTATTGTGCTACTATTTCCTTTAATATTTCAGGAATATCCTGCTGTGGTTCCCTCTCTGCTACATACGGCCAAGGTTGACTTCTGTCAATGGGATCAGTGCTATTTGCCTAAACCCAGATTATCTTCAGACATATTTTAAGAAATTTACAAACTTGGCCATACAGTTTTTAAAATTAAATGACAGGTCTTAGCATCTTCTCTTAAAAATAAATATAAATGCTAATAGTGTTATTACAATTTTGTCTCCAAGAAACTGGTGTGTTTATCATTGAAAGAATAAGAAAGTACAAACACCTCTAAATTCTAACATCTTTGTTATGTTAGTAACTGTTATTCATTACCATGGAAGCAGTAATTGGAATTTTATCCAATCTCCAATGCTTTATTACATCAACTAAGTCTCCATCTGATTATATAAAATGAGGTTACCTTTGAAGCAATAACCTGACATTTTGCAGTGACAAGTAAAATACTGCTATAATTGGAAAGCACATAAATGTTTAAGGAATACAGAGAATTGCTGAATAAAGCTAACACAAATATATTATAATGATTTATTTCAACCAATGTTCATTTTTGCTCCACTTAAAACAAAATAACTGAAGAGTAAAGAAAAAAATTCCATGCATTTTGTTTACATTTGGTAATATAGCTTGAACATAGCTGCAAATATCAACAGAAAATCCTTTGTAATTTCTCTGAGACTTGTCTGTCACATTACACAAGGTACAAGAAGCAGAAATAAGAGAATGAGACAACTTTGCACCCTGAGCTGGCAGACATTGCCAGTTCAAGGCTAGTGCTGTCTGGACTTAGCTCATATGCAGCTTACAGCATTTCTGTAGGGATGCAGAGAATAGGATTATGAGTGGGGAGGGGAGTGAAGGAATAAGGCAGGAGGGAGAAGAGGAGGAAGAGAAATGAAGAAAAAGGAGGCAGAAGTCATGAAGAAGAACTGGAAAAATTCTGGTGATTTTGTTCCTAACCTCTTTCTCATTTCATCACAGCACTGCTGCTATATATTCTGCCTTCCACACAAGTATGCCATAAGAACATCAAGAGCAGGAA